CATTTTAAAGTTGCTAAGGTTGAGGAACCCTGGAATATGGCATTATTCGAACTTGTGCTAATCCCATAATGGGGAGGAATTCCGCTCTGTTCTATCTTGACCTCCCCTCACTTTCAGTACTTTGTCCAGTTACGGGCACCCTACTTTAAGCAAGATCCAGACAAATTGAGGCAGGGCAACCAGGATGATGAAGGGAGCAGAGATCAAATTCTGCCAATGAGATGGAACAAAGTGAGAACGTTTAGCCTTGCAAAGAGAAGACTGCAGGGGGATACGATCGTTCTCAGCCACACCCGAAAAGGATGCTACATAGCAGAAAGTCAAGTTAGGGCTCCAGAGGACTAAATAGTGGATTTAAATTACAGGAACGTGGATTCTAGTTGAATGCTAGAGAAAAGTTCCTAACAATAAGTGGAGCTGACATGGACCCAGAGCAGATGTGGGCTCTCCTTTGCTCGAAAGCTAGATGGGCATTTGGGAGCCAATACTAACAGGGGATGGACTTGATGACCTCAGTGATTCCTTCCTACTGAGTGATTCTGTGAATATGCAAAGGATTCAGGCTTTAATAGGACTTGTGGAAATGCCACAAAGGGCAAGATGTAATGTACCCTCACCCATGCTTGTTTTGGGCAGGGCCGGGTGGGGGGGACATTAGTTGCTTACTTGTGCCAAAAAGCAACTGGCAAAAAAATTGGCAATGCTTTTATGATCCCCCTAAAATCTTAAATGCTTACACTGTCTGTAGTGAGACTGCATTCTCCCCTGTCTTTTTGTTATTGGATTTTTTAAATGTAGCTTTTAATTATTTTTAATTGATTTTGACGGGGAAAGGCTATGATCGTTAGTTGGGTTTTAACTGGATACACCACCCAGAGTTGCATGCAAGTGAGATGGGAGGCCTTATAAACTTAATAAATTTAATAAATACATAAATATATAAATACATTCTTGGAGTAACTATGGATTTTGAATTCTCCTCTTTTCTCCTGGGCCAAGATGGCTATTGTTTTGTATGAGTAAAATTATACTGTTAGCTTTAAAACTCATACCCATTTATTTACTGAGACATGCCTTAAGTCAGTCTTGGCAGAAGGTTACGGTAACCAGCGCAGCTTGCACGGCAGAGACCTAGAGGCACCCTCAATTGCCCACACTCTGCATTCTGGAGCAGCCACAGCTCCTGAGTGGTCTTCAAGGGGAGCCCCTTGTGTGGCACATTGTAATAGACCACATGTGAGCTGACTAAGGTGTAAGTGACCATTAGAGAGGATTTCCAGTCCAGGAAAGGGTGAAATTGGTGGATGCTGGCTGGGGAATTCTGGGAGTTGAAGTCCACCCATCTCAAAGTTGCAGAGCTTGAGCCACACTGATCTAAAGGACCATCAGCCAGATGAGTAGGGCCAAAATCCTTAACCACAAACCCATCTTGCTGAGAAAGCTGGGGTTGGATGCACTTGACATCTTGAAAAACAGAGAAATTAAAAAAACAAACAGTGACGCAAGAAGGAGTGCCTCAGCCTGGGGGAAGCAAGAATGGTTTGAACGTGGAACTGTATTGTGAGTGACTGATTTGCAGGTGTTTTAATGTACAGTAATTACATTATGTTCCTTTCCTTTACCTCTCGACCACGTCTGGGCTGCCAAATGCGGACGACCACGAGGTGGCAGCAGAGACACAGAACCCTTGGTAGCTCTTGGCTGCCGCCTAATGGTCGCTTGGAGGTTTGCAGCCCAGATCCATCAGCGTAGAATCCACTCCAGAAGCAGAGAAAAACTGAAGGCGGATCTTTTTCTGTCGATGCACACGCAATCTCACTCTGCAACCTGCACTCCTGTCTCCGACGGGTCCTTGAAACGAAACTTGCAGCGAGAGAGACGCGGTTTAAAAGCAATTCCCCACCCAACGAGAAGCGCTCTGAACTGCACGGGGGCGCTAGAGAGCGGGAGTGCGCACTGCGCACGCGCAGCGCGGAACAGCCGCGCGGGCGCCAGACGGACCGCCCTGGCCGAGATTCCTCTGGCGAAACGGCGTTGAGGGGCCGAGCGCGCCTGCGCGAATACTAGGATGACGCATGCGCGCTGGAGGCGGCGGGCGCCTCTGGGCAGCGACCGCTTCGGCCAGGGCGCTTTGCGCGCTCCCGGCCTGAGCGATGACCGACGGGCTGGCGAAGTCGGAGTCGGGTGCCCAGGTGAGGCAGGGACCGGTTCGCCGGCTCTTGCGCGGGAAAGGGCGGAGGCCGTTTCTTGCTGGTGCGAGTGCCTATCAGACGAGGTGGTATACTGCTGCAGATTATGGAGGCTCCACTGTGGCTCACCTCCTTTCGCCCCTTCCTTATTCATCCCTAGTGTCCCCTTTTGTTGTTGTTCCGTAGACCTGTGGCCGTAAAACCGTTCCTTTACTTTAAATCAGCTTTCCATCCAGAGACGTTGGCCTTCCAGTTTCATCAGGCTAGTGGGGAATTATGGGAAATGAAGTCCCACGGTGCTGGAAAGCTCCTTTAAAGTATTCACCCTTAGGAGAGTAGTGCTCAGAGGTGCAAAGTAGATGGAAAATATACAAACACAGAGAAGGAAAGTAGTTCACAGCTACTTGGGAGTTGCAAGGGGTTTGTGGATATTAGTAAAGGCAGCGGTGGAAAAGAAAAGGGTGGCCTAAATGCAAGCAGGCCGGTTGTAAACCCATTGGGACAAAGTTCCTGACCTCCTTTCATGTGCCGTTCAGAGAGCCCGAAGACAGAAGAAGAGGGACATAAACTGTGGGCAAAACCTTGTTAATTTCATCCAGGGTGAAAACAAAAATAATAAAGCTTGTTTTCCATGCGTGGTGGCAATCTGTGAGCTGACTGGGACAGCAGGCTGGCTTCTGAGCTTCGAGTCTGTCCTTTGACTGTTCCCCTGTTTTGAGATGACTGTTGAAACAGCTGAGAAGCGTATTTCCCTTGCCATGAGTACCACATTCCCTTCCGACCCTTAACTTGGCCCTTGAGTGTATAATGGTTGTTGGAATGGTCGACTAGAGATCTTCTGTTGGGTCGCTTGCTAGCCTAACTTAACCCAGCATTCAGGGCCCGTGTTGAAATATAAACTGATGATGATGGGAAACAAAAATGATGCTGCCTTGAACTCTTTGCAGCAACATCCCTTTGTTCAATTTTTTGAATTTGTTTTAGTTGGTTTTTATATCTTTTAATGTATTTATTGATTGTTTTAGCCTTGCTGTATGCCACCCAGGGTCGCTTGCTGGTGAGTTGGGTGGCTCTATAAATTGTATAAATAAGTATAATAAATAAAAACTGAGATTAAAGGATCCAAAATAGATGGCGAGGTGGAATTTTTATCCTGCAATTTATTCAGCCGGTAGGATTTTAAAAATCTGTTTGGAGTGTGATCAAAAGAACAACCTTTTATGAGGATTAATATTTAATATCATTGCTTAAGACTGCGAAGACAGTGGCTGGCTTTGGCATGGTTTCCTTCTTTTTATTTCTTTCTGTTAGCTGGCTCTCCCAGGATGTTACTCAGTGAACACAGCATGATGCTAAATTGCTGCACTTATTTTCCTTTAAAAACCAGAGAGTAAACATGAACGCAAAACACAGGTGCATTAGTGTTTAAATTATTACAATAATTTGCATCGGCAGTTAAGGACCTGCTGTTTTTCCGACAAAAATATCCAAACCCTCGTAGGACAATTTATTTAGCCCATAATAAATAGCAACTGGAGTTCTATCATTTAGTCCACAATAAACAATGAAAATGACTTCGAAAGGGAAAGAGCAGAGACTGAGCAACCTAGAAGTTCCTTTTACTAAGCCAGACTATTAATCGATCATTTGATTGCAGCTGGTTCTTAACTCTGTCCAGGCTGGGAAGATCAGTAGGGTCAGGCTTGGATAGTGCTTTGATGGGAGACCACAAGGAAATCTCAGAGCTGTATTCTAGACTGGGAAGTTTAAAAAGATCCTGGAAAAAGGCAACAATGAACCATGTCTATATTGCCAAAAATACTACATGGATATGACATAAGCAAGAGTTAAGCGCAATTCAAGAGCATCTTTTTTTTAACTGGCTGGTATTTCAGAGTCTCTGAATCTTTCTTGTATCTAGCTGCCTGGTCCTTTTAACTAGAGAGTCAAAGATTAAATTTGAGATCTTCCATGGGCAGAGTATGCACTCTTTCACCAAGTTATTTCCTCTCTATAACCTGTCCAAGCTATGTGTAGATACAAGTTGAGAAGATGGATTTATTTGTTAGCTGAATTTTGTCTACCCCAAGATTCAATATCATTTTCATTCATCAAAATTCTTTCTGTGGAAATTGAAAGCGGAAAACTGCAATGAAAAATAATTACACCGTTGCTCTAAAGCACAAAAAATTTTCATTACTGATCCTCCCATAGAGAAGCAAGCGCAGGAGCCGAAACTTAATTATTTGATACTTGCTTTTAAAAAAAAAAGTCATTAAAGAAAGAAATTAAAATTAAAGCAAAATAATCTCAGCGACAAGATTTATGGGGCAAAAATATTGTAATGATGATGTATGATAGCTTGTCATGAGATGCTTTTTGGTACATGTCCATTTCTGTCTTTTTGAACCTGAGGAGATCTGAGGTACAGTGGGGCAAAAAAGTATTTAGTCAGCCACCAATTGTGCAAGTTCTCCCACTTAAAAAGATGAGAGAGGCC